CGCCTTAAAAAAAAAAAATTTACTTGTAGGACATGTGGAAGAAATTTGGAGGAATGGGCCTATTGGGTATCACTGCTCCTGAAAAATATGGTGGATTGAATTTAGGATATCTCGAACATACATTCGTTATGGAGGAAATATCACGGGCATCCGGGTCCGTCGCACTTTCATATGGTGCACATTCTAATCTTTGTGTTAATCAAATAGTCCGAAATGGTAATGAAGAGCAGAAACAAAAATACCTACCAAAGGTACATTTATTTAAGGATCTTATAATTTATTAGATCTATGCATTTACTTATTTATTTACTATTATGCTTGGATTAATAAGCTCATATCAGGCGAATATGTAGGTGCACTTGCGATGTCAGAGTCCGGATCTGGATCCGATGTAGTATCGATGCGCTTGCGTGCTGAGAAAAAAGGTGACAAATATGTCCTTAATGGCAATAAAATGTGGATAACAAACGGTCCTGATGCAGATGTTTTAATTGTATACGCTAAGACGGACCCAAAAGCTGATTCACATGGTATCACTGCTTTTTTAGTAGAAAAAGTAAGCCTTGATTTTTTTTGTTATCCATATAAATTCTATTATTATATTAAATGTAAATACATCGTGTTTACTAACTCTGGACCAGGATTTCAAGGGATTTTCAACTGCGCAGAAACTTGATAAACTTGGAATGCGTGGTTCTAATACTTGTGAGCTTGTTTTCGAAGATTGTGAGATCCCGTGTATGTTGTTATTTCTTTTTCAGTAGTAAAACGTTATTGGACATGATATTTGACATTCTTTTGAATTATAGCTACAAATATTTTGGGCGCTGAAGGTAAAGGTGTATATGTTCTAATGAGTGGCTTAGACTTGGAAAGATTGGTCCTTTCTGGAGGGCCGTTGGGGTAAGTCATAATGCATTCATTGAAAACTTACATTAAGTTTAAATCTAATCCAATGATATAATTAGACTTATGCAAGCAGCTCTCGACATTGTTATCCCTTATGTACAGACTCGCCACCAATTTGGTAAACCGATTGCGCAATTTCAACTAGTTCAGGCCAAGTTAGCGGACATTTATACCAAACTTAATGCCTCCAGATCATATGTCTACTCTGTTGCCAGGGCTTGTGATCTAGGTTATATTTCAAATAAAGTATAAATTTTATTTCATTTTAATTGATTTGACTATCTAGCAGTTAGATAATATTTCATTTTTCTTTCAACCAAGGACTGCGCAGCAGTAATATTATATTCAGCTGAGCGGGCCACCGAAGTTGCATTAGATGCAATCCAATGTCTTGGAGGGAACGGTTATATTAATGATTTTGATACCGGGCGTATTCTTCGCGATGCCAAATTATACGAAATTGGTGCAGGGACAAGCGAAATTCGGCGACTGTTAATTGGAAGGTTTGTCAACAAACGACTTAAAAAATATATGGATTTGTTCGTTACAAATTCTTATTTGATTTCTTTTATTTTACACAGGGAACTTAATAAAGAGTTTGGAAATGCCTAGAGTGCAATAACAATATTCTCAAAAGTAAAAATTTTTGAATTTCTTTAACAAATATGAGTGAATAGGAGAATTTTACGTCATTATTTTAATAGCTATTTATTCTATCAAAATTTGGAAATAAGTTATAAAATAGTTCATATCATTGTTAATAATAAAAAAAATTTAGCTTATTTAATTTAAAATGATAAAGCTATAAGTCTTTGAATTTATCGTTTACATAAAATAAAAAATTTTTACAATTTATACTATATTTCGGTACAGTGTTGGTCTATGACCTGTTATGACCTATTAGACAACTATAAGTTATGACCTTATGACCTATTAGACAACTATAGGTTATGACTGTTATGACTTATAAATTTTACTATTACATTATGACCATCTTGGTCATATAAAGTTGAATATGACCCAAAATGGCCAACACTGTTTCGGTATGGTGAAAAAATGACAAAAATACAACGGAAAGTCAAATTGAGCTAGTTAACATTGAAGATAAAGCACTATCAAATGTTACTATTTATCATTAGATGAAGTATTCTTTGCTGGGCAATTAAGTATCAAAGATGCCCCTCGACTCTGATATTCTCGCGTAGCAGTCACATCTATAATTAAAATACTTATAAATAATGATCCCATATCCGATATTATATATTAATGATATTCTACAATTGTTTTGATTTAATTGAAAATATCGAGAATATTTTGAATGCAAAATTTTTATCAAAAAAGTATGTGCCCTCAAACATTAATATGCTGCGGCACCATACAAAGCAACAAAATATTACTAAACTATATAATAATAAAACGGCGGTGTTTTATAGGGCGGGAGCTATATATATTAGTTTATTACCGTAGTTTTAAACTTCAATAAGAAAGTGGTATAGTTAATATAGTAACTTATAGAATCTGAATGCTTTAATTTTATATACAATTCATAAAGTCATATGGAAAGTAATATCCGATAAGCCGGGATATTATTATTACTAATCTTTATTGTAAGTTTGCACTTGTTACGTGTTCTGTTATATTTTATTTCCCTGGTGGTCATTTTCTCTACAAGCAATTTACCCAAAGTTACGCGTCATTCATTAATTTATAGATTAGAAAATAATATATGGTATTTTGCAAATAAACTTATATAGGGGTGATAAAAATATTTACACACCTAAGGACTTGGCTTATTTGTTTTTTTTTTTTTTTATTTTGAATTTGCTGTATACATGATGAGATTAGTTATAGATTTGTATCAAGATGATATTTATTTTAAACTATCTATTATATTCTGTATAACTACTTTAGTATAGCAAATCATCTCTTAATTTTCTATTTGCAAACTAATTTAAGACTAGCTATCATTAGTTATAGAAGGGGAAAGAGGAAGCCCAAAAATTCAGATTTTTTAAATCAAATTAAATTTAAATTCAGATTTTTTAATCCAATCAAATTTAAATAAATTTAATATTTGATTTGATTTAATTTTAAGAAATCTTAATTATAACACAGTAGTTTTAAATAGATATAGTATAGTAATTTAAACTAAATATAGTATGATAGTTAGATTTGGAGTATAGCATAATAGATTAAATTAGTATATAGTACAGGAGTTTGATTTTTGATATAATACAATAATTTGATATAGTATATTACTATAGTTTGATACTGAATATAGTATAGTAGTTAAAATATAATATAACTAAAATATAGTATATAATAGTTTAAACTGTATATAACAGTAGTTTAAACTGAATATATAATACTGTAATAATTAGATTCTGAAATATAACATGATAGTTTGAACTGATATATAGCACAGAGGTCTAATTTTAAAATTATTATATAGTTTGAATTTGAATATAGCATAGTAATTTGATATATAGAATAATAATTTAAAATAGAATATAGTATAGTAGTTTAAAATAGATATAGTATGATAATTTGAACCAAACATAGTATTGTAATTAAATTCTAAACATTGTATAATAATTTAAATTAGTATATAGTATACTAGATATAATATAGTATTTTGATTTTAGATATAGTATAATAGCTTTATAAGAAATTTTATTCATATTTTTTATAAAACTTCTGTAAATCTACAACATGGTCAATAAAATCTAGAAAAGCTAAATAATCTTAATAATTTAAGATTAAATATGCAATATTTATAGAAAAACATATTTTTTTGAACAACAACTCTTTTCATTAATCATCAAAACACAAATTTTCGAAAACAAAATTTAATAAAAATTCATAAGAAATATACAAATATTATTAAGAAATTAAATTCGAAGCTTTAAGTAAAGAGAAAGAGAACAACAAGAAACATTCAAGTCTCTTAAGAAACTTGAGTAATAAAAACAGTAACATCAAAGAAATAGAAGAAGTTATGAAAAAATCGACGATATTTTTTTGCACTTTGTAAAATCACAACACATAATGAAGAGTAAACAAAAGAAACACACTAAAAACCATATAACAAAAGTAAATAATGAAGGCAAACAACTGCACCAAACAATAACAATAAGCAACAACAAAGGAAAAATGACAAGTCATATGAAGCAAAAGTCAACAGAATATTCTGAAAAAAGATCTGTTACAAAAGAAGAAGCAGATTTAAAACTTAAAGCAGTATTAAAAGATATCCAAGACTTGTTAGCAGCAATAACTAATGAAATGATAAATATGACAGTAAAAGAAATAATAGTATAATATACAGAACAAGAACCTATTTCAAAAAAAATATGTAGCTAAAGCACAAATAGAAAAGCTCTATAAAGAATTATAGCTAGGGCTCCTAGGTTTGAGTCTGGTTCAGTCTGGGTTTGATCAAACTTCAAACTCAAATCAAACTTAAACTTAAAATTTTACTAATTTTCAAACTCAAACCAAATCAAACTTTTTTTTTTCAAACTCAAACT